AGTAGGTTTTCATATACAAGGAATTTGCCTTTGTATATTATTGAATATTGGTGCATAACAATAAACATAGTATGAGAAAAATATAAATAAAGACGAAATAAAGACAAAGAAATATGTACAATATGATTGTACAGCTGTACAGTTTGCTTACAGTATGAAACATAAAGGGATATTTGCAATGTGCGACAGATAGTCCAGGTAAGTGATTATGTAACATTTAGTTAGATATTACTATAATGATTCACAAAGCATGACAAAAGTGTCTACCTGCAAACAGTCCACCAAAGCCGTCCTGCGCCACAATCCTGCCCATCACACTGAAGGTGGAGACCTGACAGGACACTGAAAAGACAAAGACATCATAAAACGAGCCATTAAGTCTATTCAAAAACTGCAGCAGTGTTCAAATGTGTTCATTTAACACAAATATTTTCTTGTTGTTTCCCCTTAAGTAGCTTTAATGTAGGAATAATCCTATTATTCCACACTGTCTGACAGCATCACATATATATTCTGCATCAGCTTGTTCTAACTCTTCATTGAGGCTACAGGATGTTTAGACTCAAAATTCAGCCTGACATATTTGGTATGTTTTGCTAAATTTGGGATCTCTTAAACTGTCAATTAAGAGAGAAATTTCAAATTAAAGCAATCCAGGTTTCTAATGACTGACCAATTGAATGATGAGATTTTAACATGATTAATTATATACTAGCAGATACAGTGATCAATGTCTGGAATCACTTAACCACTTTCCATCAACCTCAGACATATGAAACATCTTAACATTAAGTGCTGCAATTGAAAGCAGAAAGCAGAGTTAGATAAAAGTAATGGATATCATGGGTGGTAGTTTATAGTTATCTTCTGTGTACAAAAAATCAGCCTGACACCAAATTATGATCCTATTTATGTGTTGATTTTCCAACTAAATGTAAAATGTCTATATATATTTGCTGCAGAGGTACCACTCCAGGTAAAAAAAAGAAAATGCTGTAATTACAATTCTTTGCTTGTAGCTCTCCCAGCTCCACCTGCCTTCTCGTTTTAACAACATCAAAAGGCAAAGTTACAATGGACGCAATCTGAAAGAAATAAAGAAATATGTGTTAATTACTAGATTCATAATCAGATTACAGTTCATTTATGGATTATGATATTCTCTGTCACATTAATCAATGTCTTCGTCTACAGGTTGAGACGCTGAATGATGTTTAGACACACTTACAGAGCCAGACACTGCTCCAGATACGAAGGTGATGGTAAGCGTGGGTTCTCTGACGTTATACCGTTCACACAGCCATCTCTTGCCATTCTCATAGTTGTACCAGTACATGGCAGAGAAGGGCACGTCTCGGAGGAGCGTGGGCCCCAAACCCCGCCACAGAGACAGCCAGCCTTCTGCCTGCACTGCTGAGCGGATGCAGTCGGTCAGCTCCCTGTACGACTGTTTCTGAGACTGCAGCTTCGTACGGATCAGCTCCAGAGGGCTGATGACTGTCGCTGAACCCACTGACGAACACAGTAAACAAAGAGAAAAAGTTCAAAACACACTAGGTAACGTGACATTGAGAGTTAAAAATAAGCTTGTCACTGAAAAACAGTTTTTTTAGTTTAATTTAAGAGTAGTATATTTTTTCTATGAATTATCATCAAGCAAATTTTTATCATCTTCACCAGCTGTGAAGATTCTTTTTTTTCACTCTTTCTCACTCTTTTAAAATATATAAATAATATTATATACTTATACTTGGTTTATTTTGCAGGGACAGTGGACATTGATAAAACATTGCTGTAAATGAGAGTTAGCCATGAGGCTTTTTTTAAGAAATAGTTTTCCAGGACCTTTCCAGGACATTTTATTAACATTTTTTATGCCTTTATTTGATAGGACACTCACTTTTTAATAATTGCTCACGGGCCTTTATTAAAAACAGAGTTGAACCAAGTCAGGGTCATATTTGTGTCAGAATATGTATGTTTTCAAAATTAAATCTAGGATGTAGGATGAATTTACAGAAACTCTGGGTTGTAGGGCAAAAAGTGTGGGTGGATATTAATCTGGAAATTAAACCACAAGCATTTTGAAAATACAGCAATATAAATGAACTCATACTCTAACGGATAATGAATAAGTTCCATTCTGTAAACTAGAATTACTGGATGCAACTCTAAATGATGTTAAAGCGTGTAACACTCTCCACAGATGCTCTGTGAGAGCTGTAATCTGTCCTGTTCTCTTTAGTGACGCGACAGCAGGCAGCTCACCTCTAGCGATAGCTCCGGCCACGAGAGGAGCCTCCTGAGAGTAGTCTCCCATCCTGACCCTCAGCGCTGCACACAGCTGGTCGTAGCATGTGAAGTAGATCACTGTAGCTGGCACTGCCATCACACTGGAGACAGGCACATACAGGTAAATATCCATAAATTATGTTTCCATCTAGAATTATTATATTATTATAAAAAGTCAACCACAAAAACAACACTAATTATAAATTAACAAACGTGATTTAAATTTCCATTATGATAATACTTAACATAAATCAATCTTTGGTAATCAGCCTTCAAGAAAACCTTAGGTGGTTTGCCACTAATTGGTACAACTTCAAACGAAAGCTCCCTTAATGAGCGCATCAGCTAAAGGCTAAACGACTGTCGACCAACCACATTTGCACAATAACTCGGCTTTAAGAGGCGAGTAGGCAGAATGAAGATCCACGAGGGACTAAAAGAGACACAGAAGACTTCACACTCACAGGGTTGGAGGCAGCCCACTCCATAATGCCTTTACTCCTTCTCGGCGTACTATTTTGACAAAGGCATCCTGCAGACATGCAGAGAAGAGTCAGTGTTGAAAGGAAGACGTGCTGTTTGGCAGTTTTCTGTCACAATATGACTGTGCAGCTTTACTTCACACTTATACAAAACAGGCTCCATCAGACACTAAATCAAAACACAAACACAATAGGGAACTTGTCTGACTAGTAACCCTAAACCGCAACCTTTTATTTTGGTAAACACTAAATAGTGACGTTTAATGTGTATGCGATTTCTTTTACCAGTGTGCCATTGAAGTGACCGGAGGCTTTGTACCAGGCCTTGGAGTTGCCGTTTTCACACACACATATGTGGTCCATAAGTCCATTGCAGTAGACAAAGCATTTCCCTGAAAGACATTTTTTTTAAACACAAGTGGTCATCTTTCTTTTAAGGTATTAATAAACATCATATTCGACCATATTCATTATACCTTTGGGGAAGGGATTTTTCTGCGCTTGCAGTCTGATCTTCACAACGTCCAAAGGTGTGACTGAAAAGAAGCAGAAACCTATCATGAGCCTCTGTGGATGACAATAGGTAAACTGTAGAAATGTTGCCAAATGTGAAGTCTTTCTTTGTAGAATGTAGATCTACTGTACTTATATAATACACAGATGCTTGTACGTGTGTTTGAATTGTTGGTGAAGTATGTCAGATGAGGTAAAATGTAACATGACATGAGAGCAATTTACAGGAGCAAAACAGATTGTACCTTTAATTATGCTTCATTTCAGAACACTAATCTTGATACAGCTTCTCATCAGCATCACAGCCACAAAAATGTTTCAGTAGCTTTAACAGAACATTTAAACCCCCCACAATGTTCACTTTGGATTGTCCAAACTACACTCATTTGATAGATTATTAGGTAGTTCTGGGTACAGCTCAAAGTAGTGCAGTGTAATACATCACCCCTGCAATAAATCCTGTTAAAACTGTTTTAGGGGCGTTAAATCAACTCTACGGTCATTTTGGAGGCTGTAGTTTGTGGTGCTGTTGAACATTACAATTCAGCAGCATCACAATGTTTACAAATGACTGTAAACTTGAGTCAACGGCTCTTTAAAACAGTACAGTAGTTTCATCTAAGTGTACGTGATAAAGTGGCAACTGAGATGTAGATTTCAAGTGTTTTTTAAGTTGATTTTCATAATGTGTTTGAATTGAACAGAAACCAGTGACTGCCTGGAAGGAAAGGTAAACAGATTATAATCAGTACTGTTGCATCACATGAGCTAAAACAATTAAAGACACCATTCAAGTTATTTAAAAAAACACATGACCATCTTGTCATGTGTCAGTCGGGGTATCTCACCAAACAAAGATGTGAGGAGGGCTCCGGAGCAGGACGCCACCATCTGTTGGAGTGGAGTAATGCCATTACTGGCTGAAGGAGCAGGACTTTGACCACTCATACTGTCTTCTTTAAAAAACACAAAGATACAGAGACGACATTAGATGCATTTAAATCTGTATGTTAGTAAGCATGTATACAATCACGTTTTACCAAATTCACTAAATTAGCGTGGTTAGTACGTTATTACAATATCATTTCACATTACATGATGAAGGCAGCTCTCTGGCTAACCTGAGTTAGCTCATTAATTTAGCTTCCTACCTGATAGAGAGCCTCAGCTTTAACAAAGTCTTCCATGAACACACTCATTCCTCTCAGGTGCTGTAGTTTCCCGACAGTGTGACATTTAGTCCTCCAGGCCCCAGAAGGAAATGATAGCTTCATACACGTGTGTGTGTGTCAAGGGGTTGTAACCCTACCGAGCTGCTCAGTTTACATCACAGCAGACATTACGAGATGACCAATGTTACGCAAGTTTTAATTTCAGCAAAGCACATTCTTGAACTTTTTCAGCTTTTTGTTTACATTACATTAAACGGAATACATTATATAAAAACACGTATGTGTATAGTATATAAAATGTTTTTGTAAATTAAACATTTTTTTTTTATGTCTATATTTAATGTGTGTTTTTATTTTATTTAACAGCAATGTGGAAACGTCACATGCAAACACAAAGGCTGCGTTTACGTATTTCCGGTGTTGCCAGGTTTGGGTCGTTTCCGTAAAACCATAAAACCTCTCAGTTTCTCTAAAGGTGTGGAGAGGATGACAGTCACGTCCCTCAAAGACACCCAGAGGCACAAAGGACCCGAAACAGTTCTGTTCAAGAATAAAATCTGGAAGGCAAACAATCTGTGAGTGTAATTTGATATCTTAGTGCTTTTAAACGCGATGGTGGGCTACGTAGTGTCAAACATGGCAACATACACGTCGTCCACCATTGGATTTAAAGCGGGAAAGAAACGTTTGCAAAGAAACATTAGTGACTTAAAAAGTTTACTACAGCTGGTTGAACAGTCGTAAAACCGGTTACCGATGGATATTATGTGGTAACAAACGTGTTAACACCGGCTGTGTGCCGTTTGTTTCCGTTACGTTACCGTTACCGTGTCGCAAAGCAGCTAACCGACAAAAGGGAAACGAGACTCTGCACGGTAAACTGCTCTTTAACGTTACCGTCAGTTAGACACAGTTTAATAACCGGGAGAAAAAACAACAACAACAACAACAACAACAACAACCCAAACATCTGCTCACATATTACCACTCTGACTCGTTTGTTTATCTTTGTCTGATTTGTAAACAGTTCTTTGTTTACACGCAGCGGACGGACGAGGACTTTCTGGGGCATGTTTACTCAAGACTGGAGGGCAAATAAACATTTCTGTTTTTCTCAATGAAAGAGAATAAAATGAAGCCAAAACGCATCCAGAGGCACACGGGACCCACCTGGCAAGGTAATGTTATTATTTATTCACTGTGTTATACTAGTGTTTTTTGTTTTCTACTTAATTTGAAACTATTTAGCTATTTAATAGTTACTAGTAAAAAGGACACAAGCTGAAAAGAAGTATAGTGTAACTTATTGCTGTTGGCAGAGTAAAGTAATTGTTTTAGAAGAGTAATGAGTACTAACTTTATCACCATCACTGACTAATACAACACTGGAAGATATGAGTCCCAGTTAAAGTCATATCAAGTCTATTTTAACAGTTAAAGGCTTTATAGTCTACAACATAGGCAGCCCTGCATCCTCAAACCCTTGATAAGGAAAACTTCACGCTATATAGATATTAAAAACCTTTTAAGAGTGAGAATAGACAGAAGTAGTAGAGTTACAATAGTGAGAAACAGGAGAACAAGGTTCGTACACAGACTACATAACATAAAGGTTGTAGCTGTAATCAGGTAGTGAGCTGGTTTCTTAATCTGTAAACAATAAAAGTTTGATATTTGATCACACAAATGCTTGATCAGTCAGTTAATCACATGAATGGTTTGTGGTTGATCACTTGATTTACTCAAGGACCCCGGCTGAGATTACATCTGGACTCCGCCTCTCATCCTGTGACTTTACTAATTGCCTTTCAGGGAAAGGCGTCGCTGCTGGTGACAAGGCAACGCTGAGTCAAGCTAAGCCAACTTCGCTTGTGTCTTCTCTTGCTCACGTCAAACCTTTCGCTGGGAAAGTGTTTTACCTGGATCTGCCTTCAAACAGAATAGCAGAGACGTTGGAGAGCGACATCAAAGAACTGGGAGGGGTGAGACAAAACACAGTTTCCCCCGTTAGACTGTCAGAAAAGTTCAAATCTAACTTTCTAATCTGTAATTTCTCTGGGGGGCAGTTTAACATATACATGAGTTATTAGGTCCTGTCCCTCTGAGCCCTGCAGACTTCACTAGACCTTGAACTGTGATGACTTTACATCATCTTCATATATATATACATATATATATATTTCAATATTAGTGGCAATATGCTATTTGAGTTTTTGAGTTTTTGGTTCAATTCTAGTAAACTTATTTTTTCTCCCATTCCAAACAACCCAAACTTTTCAAATGTTAGCTAAATACAGTCTTTGCTTTAATAAAATTGGCTAAAATGGGCAACACCTTTTATGTAAAATTATCTAAATATAAACACAATTTCTGTTCCAAAACTGTATTTAGTTTGGATACCCAACCCTCTAAGACACACGTTCTTTGTGTGTTGCGTTTGTTACTGAGACGGGTATGAAGTTCTTAAAGATTTCCCAAAAACCTCATCCTGTGTCTCTCGTTTGTCACGCAGACTGTTGAAAAGTTCTTCAGTAAGGAAATTAAGTATCTGGTATCCAACAAGAGGGAGGCCAGGTATGTGCAGTGCCTCAGGCAGGACTCTCCTGTCCCCAGCCCCGACTCTGGTCCGAGTTCACCTCACCCTCGCTCAAAGCCGCCGCAGCAGCCTGGCAGCCATGGGGACAAAAGCAGATCTCAGGGCCAGACCGACACAGTGAGTTCACTTTTTCATCAACCGTAGTGTAACTCTGTGTTTGGAGGTCTATTTAACGCTCTATTAACTCGGTCTATTGGTAATGTCATAGAGTTTAATTTTCTGTTATTGTTTTGCAGTTTGTTCCAAGTCGAGGGAAGTCTCTGGTGGAGCGAGTGGTGAAAGAGCAGGTTTGTTAAGTCAACACTAATGAGTTTTAGTAAGTAACTCTAATGACCTCTTTTGTTTTCTGTGCTAATACACACTTGTTTGTTTTTAGGAGAGGGTACAAATGAACAAGATCCTGTCAAATGCTCTGGACTGGGGTGTGAAAATCCTCTACATAGATGGTATGTTGTTGAGGTTATCTCTATTTTATCTGTGATATCTCATATATCAGTTTTTGTTACATAACATCAACCATTTGTATATTATTTGAATGTATAATGTAAATAATTACTTACTTTAGTTTTATTTCTTTGACGACACTTGCAGATATTATAGCATATGTTCAGAAGAAGAAAAAGGTCCAGTGTCCTGCTACCACTGCCGTCAAAGCAAGTGTAAGTTTACAGACTCTAATTCTTAAATTTCTTTATAAAAAAGATGACTAACATTTTGGAATTATTTTCTTAAAAGTTGTTTAACATTGTATTATGTTGTTTATTCAGTTTTATAACAATCTGTCATTCTTCGTAGGTCAAAGCTGAGGCAGCAGCAAAACAAGGCTTTCAGAAATGCAAAGGTGAATGTCTCATCTAGGAGTAAACAATGTATATGTAGTTGTTATTACCAACATTTTTATTGGCAGCAATGTTTTTGATCTTTTGTAAATACAACCTGAAATTTAAATCGACTGTCAATGATGTTTGTTCCAGCGGGGAGGATCAGTAAACCATTCGTCAAGATTGAGGATTCAAGCAGGTAAGAGACAGACGGCTGAGAGGAGCTGATATCCACCGACTGTCTTTGAGTTGTTTACATCTGTTGACTTTAAAATGTTTCTTTTCCCGTCCTCAGACACTACCGACCAATCTACCTCACTGTGCCAAACATGCCTGAGTTCAACCTGAAGACTGTTCCTCCTGGAAGTCCCTTCTGTGTGGAGGACAAGGATCCTCCTGGAAACAAACAGCGGGGACACAGGTACAGTGTTTCTTCTCTGCTTTGCTTTACTTAACATTAGGACAGCACAGTGTCACACTTTCACAGGGACTTATATTTACAAAAAATCCCCTTTCCTCCAGCCAGAAGTAACAATTAACATATTTTAACCACTGGAGCTACCATATCCCTAAATGTTCCTTCACAGTCAGTTTAACTAACTAAATGTTGCTCCCACTATTTTGCTGTTGCTGTTAATTGCTGTTGTGTTAATGATGTCTGTTCTCAACTAATTGTGTAGCTTTGTTTTTAATTAATTAATACTGTGTGGTGAAGCCAAACTCCACTAGACACTGATTAAACATGTGTTTGTGTAATTCAGTCTGACACATTTGGTATGTTTTAAAACTTTGTGGGAAGAGAATTTAAAGTGCTCGTCTGCACAATTTGAGTTGGTTCTGCTGGAGCCACTCGTCAAGATTGACTAAAGATTAATCAAAGTGCAGAAATCCTGGCTTGTTTCATCTCAGTTTGGTTTTATTTGTCCTCTGGGCTTCAGTGAAGAGAGAGCACACGGCCGAAAGAAGAACAGAGACAAGAAACGAGGTGGCTACTGCGAGTGCTGCATGGTCAAATATGAGAACGTCACAACGGTAAGTGATCACATTTATAAAAGCAAACTTTTAAGTACAGAATTGCTTTTGTGTTTACACATTATTTATGTGTTTAGAAATAATAATAAATGACCAACTTAGCAGCTGGTAAACTTTAAAGCAATATGAAGTTCTAGATTTATTCCAGATGTGTAATCTTGTGTAATTATACTGATATGTATTATACGGTCCAGTGTGTACTAGTTTCACTTAAGTCTTTTTTTTAATTATTCAGCATCTACAGAGCGAACGGCACAAGACTTTCTCCAAGAGTGACAAATACTTGGTGGTGGACAAACTGGTTTCAACCCTGCACTGCAACTTCTTCCACGTCAGAACTCAAGTTAAAAGGTAATTTGTTCCTTTAAAACTTCCATCAACATTATATGTTTACAAGAACAAAAAAATACATGTAGATGTAATCCCACTTCACCTATTCAGATCTTTTATCTTTCTATTTCACTCGATAATCATTGTTTTTCTTTGACTCCTATCAGACCAAAGTGCAGTGTTTCCTCTGTTCTCATGGCTCCTGGACCGTGTGGGAAAACTGAGCTAAGGCACAAGAGAGATCTCAATACCACAGACATTATTAAAGAAGAGCAGCGCTGGACTGTCAATGGACACAAGGGATCTTATTCAGGACACCCTTTAAAAATCAGATCAGTTGCGGCTTCTGCTCCTCTGATTCACAGAGAGGGGGACTCTAGGAGGCATTACACTCACTCAGACAGATCCAAGCACAAATTTCTTGCGCGTAAGCTTCCTGGCAGAAAGAATTCCTTGACTTCTTGCACTCAAACGCCACAGCCTGAGATGAAGACAGCGCCCTCTAGAGGTGACTGTCTCACCTCTGTTCCCTCCAGACTTACTCAGGTTGACCCGAAGGACCAAATAATAACTGAGGACATGAACAGCTCAACCTCGCACTTCCATGATATAAACAAACAGAACGAATATTCCTCAAAAAGTCTTAATGTGATAACAAATCAACAAGAGGAGTCTGATAAGAAACAGGATTCCTCAGTAATTGAGGCTGTTCTGGATGGAAACGCGTTGCCCGACAGACTTTTTGTAAACAGCCTCTCAGAAAAGGAAGATCCAAGTCTCTCAACACAAAGCTTCTCTCCAGTTCGGAAAATACGGAGGAGGGTCAGGGTTTATAAACGCAAAAGACGGAAAGTGGACACACATGTTGGACATGTGAAGCCAAGTGACATTCCTGACAACTCTGTGCTGAAACTTTGGGAGCTTTTTCAGTCGAGTGATGACATGGACGTCGAATTCCTGGGGTTTGAGACCTAGGAAGGGAAAACTGAATTCAAGGGATAAACTGGACCATTTTCTAGACATATTACGTTTTCCACAACTAGAACTACATCAGACTTTGTGCCATGGACTGTGTGAGCAACTTATTTGTTTTAGGGGTGAAAAAATTCCCCTGTTACTTTGTTTTATATCAGATGAAAGGCAGCTGCTGGTGTGCTTTTGCATTTTCTTCTCTGCATTGTATCAGATATTTAACTTAAAACCAGCCTTTAATGACATTTATAATTCCCTTTACAGTGGCTTTGAAATGACAATTGGCACATTTTACTGTGCTGAACAAATTGGTTGAAAATGCATTTAAATTCTAAACTCAAAACAAAGAACTGTTGAATTGAAGCAATGTATTCAAAACTGTATATTCCCATGAAAATATGACTTAAATGTACAAAATGTACTGATATCTTACTTGTCTCAAAGCTTAAAAATAGATCTATAACTCATCTCATCTATATCTAAATCCCCTTTGTGATTGATTTTAGTAAGAGAAATCAAACATCGCTAATTGCTTTTACCTGGATGCAGCTGCTGTAGAAACAGAAACAAATGCACAGCAAGTTCAGCTGATAAACTTTAACAGCAATTTATGTGGGGAAATGTCTCCAAAATACCATGAATTGGAATAAAATGTCACCTAAAGATGACACTGCTCTGCAGCAGAAAACACCCCGCAATGTATTAGGGTGAGTATTGAGGGACAAATTTCACAAGGTTGATACCTTTTATTGCCACTTAACAATGTATGAAATATTACTGTGTTTATTATCATAGTTTACAGTCTCTTCATGCAGTCGTTTCCACTGAATACTGACTGTTCATTTAAAGGAGCATCAAATGGAAGAAAAAGGCAGCTTTAGTCACAATATTTTACACAGTAATCTGGAGAAAGATGAGAAATCTTCCCAGACATGTTGAAATGATTGTATATGTATATAAAATGTATATATAGTGGTTGTATATGTATTTTATTGTAAATGACCTGCAGGCTGGATGTGTGGTACTTGACATTATATATAACATTTTAGGATTCTTCCTAAGTGCACTTCTCATGACCTGCCTTCTTTTCTTTTTCTGATGCATTAGCTCAGCTTCTCCCTTTTTCCCTGCATTTAGTACATTAGCATAGTGCCCTTGTTCTCCCTCACTGCTCTCAAATGGATGCACTGGGTCAAATGGGAGTCTCTGTGCCACTGGCATTAAGAAAAAGACACGAGCAACAGCATGCTCCAAGGTACAAGAACGGCAATCCTGCAAATAAAAAGCCAACACTGAATGCTGACATTATTGTTGTTTTTGCTCCTCTGATACTGATTATAACCTCACTGTGTTTTTATAGTCATAGTGCACAAACTGTACCCGCCTCATACATAAGACAAACATTTAAAGGTCCATCCATTATTTATACCCAGTTATCTTTTTCAGGGTTGCAGGGGCCTGAGTTTATACACCTTCAAACACACACGAGAGCCATTTACACTCTAAATTGGAAATATATGTGTACACATTAGTCTTTAAACTTGGCGAGAGAAACCATGCAGACACAGAACATACAGACTTAAGGCCTCGGCCCTGCAGTGGGTGTGTATGTTGTGGAAAACGTTAGTGACTCTGGCCTGTGAATGAAACATCTGCAACTTTATAAACAGTTTATTTTCCTTATGTTACAGTCATATGTAAAATAGGGTATTTCTAACAAATAGAGTTATAAATATTAATTGACTTGATGTAACATTGTGCCAGATTGTGTTGGAACTCTTGCCTCAGAGCCATATCAGCTCCTTGAGTAAACAATTGTTATGTGTCTGGGGGAAGAAAAAAATAAATCATTCTCACCAGCTCATTAATTCTGTAATATTTGCTGCATGGCTCTGGGGCAAGTCTGCACCAGGTTGGAGCATCTGGTCTGGTGTTAAAGTAACATAACAGATTGTCTTCATGCTGCCATGTGTCAACAGTTTGAAGGTGTTTGGGACGCATGAACAAACCGCACATGAGGATGTCAAATGAGAAAAGACATTTCTAAATGTTTGTGTTTTTTTTGTTGTTAAACATGGTAAAATGGGAAATATGACTTAAGGTATCAATTTTATATAGTTGCAGCCCCAATAATGGAAAAAACAAAACAAAACCACCACCACCACACATTATTATTTATTTTGTTGGTGCCCTGGCAGATGATGGAGTGACTCATGATGATGAATAACAAGCAGAATTGGGCAGGAATGGCGCTCTTGCTGCAACTGAACATGGAGGAGCGTGGAGGAGGCTGATATCGGTGTCGGTCCAGTCTGCAGAAGGCCGGGCCCGCAGCTTCCCTCCATCCCGTCTCCACCACTCGCTCATATTTATGCATTAGGCGTTTCTGCAGTGAGCCGCTGGATATTGATGTGTTTTAAGGAGGCGTCCCCAGTCCTCCCCTCCCCTCCATCCACCCCTGCCTCCCTTCCTCTCTCCCTCCCTCTCTCCCTTCCTCTCTCTCTCTCTCTCTCTCTCTCTCTCTCTCTCCCTGCCTCCTCCGTGCTGCTGTTCCGCGGGTCTCGGTGAGCTCAGACGCGCTCGGCGTTCAGACTCGTAAGGACCCCGAGGCCCCCAACCAGAGGGACTGCGCTAAACAGACGACCAGCCCCAGGCTTCAAGCCCCTAACGAAGGCAGGACCCGAGAAGCTTGCTCCTTGAATACCGCATTGTTTTATAATTTCCTACAAGGGAGAGAAAGTGATGATGCTGAGGATGCGCCCGCGATGGTGGATTTCCCTTTTGTGCGTCTGTGGATTGATGCACGTCCGGTCACCAGAGCATCCCTAATGCCCCAAATGGTAACTGATGTGTATTTCAGATATTTACATGAATTATTATCGTGCAACAAAGCGTTAAATCACCATTTATAGCCGTGTTTGTTTGTTTTTTTTTTTTATCCTAGCTCCGGCTATAATCTATATCTAAAATATGCATGTAGCCTGGTAGCATTGTTTCATGTTATCAAAGGAAATAGGATTTCGACATTTAGATGGCGGTGTTTGTGTTTGAATGTGTCTGTGATCACTCCCCGCACGGAGGGACAGGCGGGAATGAAATCGGTGTTTTCCTCCTGTGCAGGAGACGCCTTGTCGAGCTTTGAGGCTCTTTCGTGATGCGGGCAGGTTGTCGGGGAAGGAGGACACGGTCCTCTCCGCCTGCTCTACAGCAGGCACAACCAACAGCCAGATCACACAGGACGAGCTCAGCACCAGGTTAAAAGGCAGCCCCGGCTCCACTCAGGTACACGTGTTTTTCAGGTTGTCAGGGCGGAGAGAGAGAGAGAAAAGAGGAGAGAGAGAGAGGAGTGTCTATACTGTGTGTGCTGGAGAGAGAAAGAGAGATGCCTTTTATTATTGCGTGTTTGTGTTTGCATTGATTCATCTCCTCCTCTGCCCTTGTTCTCAGGAGGGAAATTAATAATTAGTTAATTACAAGCAAAACAGAAGAAGCTTGAAACATTTAGGCAGGAACAGGCCGCACTAATTAGACAGTCTGCAGGTGCTATATGGGTCATCAATGTCTTCACATGCAAACAGCAGACTACTGCATGTAGACTGATATACAATATTCAGCTTAGCTCCTCTGTTGTCTGCCCACGCTGCACATTTAAGGAAAATCATCAGCTTAAGTCATCTGGACAACCAGGATAATTAATAATTTAGTGATAACTTGCATCTTTTCTGTCCCAGCAGGCGCCTCTGTACCAGCTCAGATCTCATATCCCATTTAGCAGCATTTTTCACTTTAGTCATGAATGAAAGTGACCAGAGTCTCACTGTTGAAGCTTAATCAATATATCTAAGTAGATTTTAGATTATTACAGATATATCTGTATTGGCAGCTGATGTGTACCAGGAAGTGGCAGTAAATGTTAAAGATACACTATGCTTAAGATCATTTAGAAACAGTGCTACCGTTTGTCCACTAGAGGGTACTGACAAGTTTATTTTTTAGCTCTTGAATATCCCGATCAGTATCGTCACAATTCTTTAATAAACAAATCTGAGGAATCCTCGTGAAAAATGTTTATGGTTAAACAATTTTAGCTCTCAAATATCAACACAAGCGTTGGCCACGAACATCTAATGTATTTTGTGCTCTACTAGCTCAATATCTAAATATTTACTGTGATAAACTGTAGGAAATACGCTCTGAAGAGGATTGATTCCCAGGATAATTCACAAATAAATAAGGGTGTAAGAAAATATTGAAAAATATCGTATCGTGATATTTTGCTTATTGATATTGTATCGATTCTCAAAAACACTTTATTGAGTTTTTGTTTTTAAACCCCTGACCAAGCACTGATCAACTGTATGCATCTGTTGATCTGTTCTCGACCGTTTCCCAAAATTAGATTGAAAAAGAAATCACAATGTGTATCACCTTGCTGATAGTATTGCAATATATTGAATCGTAACCTCTGTATCGTGACACTTATCGTATCACCAGATTCTTGCCAATACACAGCAATAAAACATATATATAAATTCATAGTTATTGAACCTTTATGTAGCCAAGCAAACTGAAGGCTAGTTCTTTGTTTCGCAGACATAACCGCCCAATCTATCATGTAACACAGTTATGCTGAAAGTTGTTAGTTATCTAAAACAGTATATGCCAATAAAGACTACCAGAGCCATTTGGTCTATAAAAACCGATACAGTGCAGGAATAATCATAATCACGGTTACTGTGTTCACTGACTCAGTTCAGTGAAGCGGCATTGGCTGCTGGGTTCATTTCAACAGATGAGTCAATTAGCATTGTGCAGTCCTGTCATGCGTTTTTAATTTGTTCGGCTTAGGCTTGTGTAGGCTAGCCTATTCAGGGCTCTCAGAGAGTGGAGAACGCTACAGATGGTAGCATGCAGGGAGGTGCTAACCCTTTGTCTCCCTCACACCTCAGACAGAGCTGCAGCCCGATGGGTAAACAAGAACAGAAACCATCTGCCATCAGATATCATTTTAATATTTTCCTTTTGAAGCTGATACTAATCTGCATCACGGGTTTGTCACATAACATAAACTGGATTTTAAAGCAAGGAGACTCATTTCTGCAGAGCAAGGGAATCATTTTTACTTTCTACACAGATTTGCTCAACCCATCTCATATCATGGTTAAATTCTCATATTATAATGATTCATTTTTTTGTGTAATTCCTGCTCAGAAGATGTGTTTGTTTTACTAAAAAATGCATTGTGTCATCTCATGGTTATCAAAATAATATGCCAACGGGCAATCAGTAATAATCTGAAAGTTAGTTAAGCTATAAAATATACATTTGCAAGTGAGGAATAGATCCAGGGTAGGAGGAGGAGGAGGAGGCAGGCGCTGGCATCTTTGATTGGATTTCTGATGTTCTGCGTCTCTTATTCTCCTGAGAGTTGAATCTGCTCTCCAATCAGCCGGGATGTCACTTGCACAAAGTTTGATCAGTTATTAGCTGTTTTTAGATCAATGGCCTAAAAACAAATCTGTCAAATACTTCTGAAAATGTGTGACACGCAGGAGGTTATTTATAGACTTCTGTTGCATTGCCTATTTTCAGACACAAACAGCTTCACCACTGAATGAGCGGTGGGGAGTTCAGCAAAGTGCTTGTGTTGTTTTGGTGGAAAAACAAACGCCTCAAGTGGAATCAGTCTGAGCATGTGTGTGTTGGTTTGTATGTTTGCCTTTGTGTGTGTGTGTGGATTGATAGCACTTACAGTCATACTTTAACAGTCATAAGTGGAAAGTCAGACTTGCTATAACTCAGAAATCAATGTAAGAAGAGTCAGCGGTGGCCTCGGAATATTGGACCGGCTCAGTAAAGTTGGGATGTGCTTTCATTAAACACAATTACTGGTACCTCCTCCCATCATGGATCCAGTCTGCCAGATTAGATTTCATCACAAGTGTGCCATAAACAGGGATTGCCCTTTGTACGTGCTCACACACACACACACACACCCACACCCACACCCACACACCCTCTTACCCGCTCATATATGCATTGACCACGCACAGACACACTCCTACTAACAATAGAGTCTGTGGCCAATGGGGACCTCACAGGCTAAGGTCGTCCTTGGGTGAGCACAGGGGCACCTCCTCAAATGGAAACAAAAAAAACCCACACACACCCCTCCTCCCCTTGTTGTATTGCGGCGTAATGAAGGTAGCCCATGGTCCGAGCCTGGGGGAGGGTGAGCTGTGTTTTAGCTCAGCTCTGGGACCCCCTCTGGACTTGCACAGGAATGATTGTGGGGACTTCTTATTGACCCAAGGGTGTGTAATGACGCCTGTACCATATGTGGCCAGAGCTGGGAATGAATTGGATCAATGACACAGTACATGCAGTCGGGGAAGAAAGAGTGTGAATATCTGTGTTTGTATACATATTCACTGGCAGACATATATATGGCTCAATATGGGTTTAGGGATTTCCATGAATCCTTGGCTTTGTGAAACTGTTACAAAACCAGTCTGGTAAGCATAGAAATGAGTGGTCGTTGAGGTAAAATAATAGCACATTAGGTTATCCACATGGATGTGTGTGTGTGTGTGTTTTAGTGGGTATTACATGAGAGGAGTGTTACATGAGATGCTTTGCAGAAATTCAAATTCAGAAGAAGACAGACCTTGATGGCTTAATGAAAACAGTCTTATTCTTACAGCTGATTGATTGGTGCTGGAAAAAAAAGATAATGCAGCCATCTGTCAATGTAGATGAGAATTGATTTTTGCATATAAAAATGAATTGATCCATGAATATGATAATGCTTGTCTTTAGTAATAGTAAATAACCCATCTTCTTTGCATTTTTAGGTTAACCACATCGCCCAAGCAAGCTTTCAAGTTGATGCTTTTGGCAGAAAATTCATCTTGGATGTGGAACTGAATCAGTGAGTATTACATTATTAAATCTGTCTGTCTGTCTGGCTATCTGTCTGTTTCGCTCATTAACATATATAAAGATGGATGACATTACAGCCAAACATCTCAATCGCCCCCTGGTACCCGACTGCAGTATAGGTCTTAAAGCCCGCTGTCTCCCCCGTTAGCAGATGGGTCAAAAAAATTCACGTCAAATACATTTTTCCAAAAGATAGTTTCTGTCTTTTTAGGTCGTTCTTATCATGCTGTTGTTCGTTCAAGTGCTAATTTTAAAAGGGGGTTTTGTGTCACGATTGACAGCTGAGACCTGCTCGCCATTGAGTCTGCCAGGCGTGTGGGTGGGATTCGGTACCGCTTTAATTTGATTCTTTAATTTGTCTTGCTAGCTGTCTAAGTGTCTGTCTACTAACTTCTTCTATCTATATAGCTTGTCTGTACAATTTTGTTTTGTGTAAGTTTAAATGAAGGTGGATTAATTTTAAACCCCTGAACGTTCATGAAATGACTTTAATGTTCACTTGCTTGTTGAAATAATCCTGGCAGGAGTTATACGTCATTCTCTCAGGCCTGAACGACACTTTTAAGTTTAAATTCATATTATGTTTTTGTTTAGTATAAATCCCAAAGCGCACATTAATCTAGTGCTGACTCCAGTATTTCAGCTGAAGTTGCCATTGTGCTGCTGCTGGACAGAAGTCACATTCTCCTGCTCTCTTAGTGCAGTTAATACCTGTTTTTGGGAATGCACTCTGAGGACATAAATATCTAATGCTTGTGTGCTGAAGTGGGCCATTGTATGAATGAATGTAAATGCATCTGTGTGTTTTATATGTATGTTTTTGTGTGCTTGCAGCTGGTCAGTTAGTGTGTGTGTGTGTGTGTGTGTGTGTAAGTGATTTAGAGGTCCTATCATAATAGGAAGTGATTTATGGTAAAGGCTGGAGCATTGCCCTGTCAGACACTGATATTGATCACAGCACTGCTGATGGAAAGCAAGCATCTCTCTCTCTTGTTATTTTCTCTCTCTCTGTCTTTTTGCCTCCAACTCACATTACATTTTTTTTTAAACCGCCCTTTTGGGCATCTTCCTTTCTCAACCTTTCCTCTGTTATGTTTCTGTTTCTCTCTGTCACTCTTCGAGACGATGGCTTGTTTCTCTCATTTAGCCCCAAAACAGAAAGCCTGTCAACTTGGCACACACATAAGGTGATGCTGCCTACTCATCACAGCGGAAGTCACTCCCCTACTGAGTGAAACGTTACATCACAGGAGTTCCCAGGTTTAGAGGATATGTTTCTGTAAACCCTGCAGCTCACTGCATGATGCACCAACCAGTCATGGATATAAATGTGTCATCTGCACACATACACATGCATGTACATGCTGTCACATGCAAATATACTTTCATCAGCGCTTGTTTTTGATGCAACAAGTCATTATTCATCTGTGTGACATTGGGTGCTTTCAGCGTTATTTTACATAATGTCTTCACTGCATGTGGTGCAAAAAGTCCATCAGTTTATCGGCTGAAAGGAAACACTTTTGTGAAGTCCTGTTTCTAGCTTTCCAGAGAGTGATTTAACCTCCAAGCAGACAGCTCTGGGCAACTGTTTGACATGTGTGGTTCTGAATAAGAATGAGAGATCAGTGCAATAGAGCATTGTACTGTGTGACGTCTATCTCTTCTCTTAAAATCCTTGTACTATTTGTTGGGCTGAAACGTAAATTATTGATTGACCAGTGCAAAGAGATATTGTCAGCAACTATTTTGTTAACCCATTAATTGACATTTCTTTTAATAACCAAAACAGTTATATATAAGTAATGATGAATTGGTTAGTTACGGAAGCGTATTGCATTCACTTGGTTTGTTTTTCTGAGTAATTATTTTCCTGTTTTTCTGAGTAATTTTTTTTCTGAATAATCGAGATACTTACATAACCTGCAAGTGACTCCTAAAGTCCTCACGTGCCTACGTAGAGTTGACAAACTAATGATACATGATCGGCTTGTTTGTTTTTCTATCAAGTAACTTTTGGATCTGGGTTTGACTGTCCTGTCTTTAAGTACATATAGGATGGTCATTATCATTAGTTTGTCAACTCTACGGTAGGCACTGAGACTTTAGGAGTCACTTGCAGTTTATGTAAGTTATCTGATACATGGAAAAAAATTTACTCAGTAAACAGGAATAATAACTTTACTCAGAAAAACAACCAATTGTGGAATGCATATTATCGCTTCCGTAACTAACCAAATTCATCATACTTCTTTATATAACTGTGGTTATTTAAAAAATGTCAATTAATGTGTAATACTAAATAAATAAAACCAATAAATAACAAAATCCAAAACAAATTCCCTTAAAACTGCACTCACCTTAGGTTGCTGTAACATACAATCCTCTCCCTCCAAAAATAACCTATCCTCTCTTGCAATCATATCTAGTCTAACATACTATCTATTCATCAACAGTTTCAGATCCCACTCTAATCCACTTACATAGTAACTCCATCCAGGATTATTAAGAGAAGAGATAGATCTTCATTCTCACAAGTTACAACAAAGCTCTATATAGCACAATTTATTCTAGATACTTCTCAATTTCATTATCACTCCCAAAAAATCCCTAACCATTGTCAGTAATCGTTTTGAGACCCTATTGATGCCTGTACTAGCTTTGGCAGGTTAATACATCACTCTCTGGTACAAGCATAATGAACACAAGAGCACCTCATCACAAACTTATAGTGTACCTTTTTTTCAGCCGATAAACTGTATGGACTTTTTGCACACAGTGCAGTG